TTTTGTGATTTATTTATGACTATAAGGTACTTCTAAAATAACAAAAAATATTTATTTATTTTGCGATAGATTTTGAGCTACGCTGTTTTGAAATCGGTGAAATTTTCAAAAAATTCATTTTTTTCTAGATTTTTTGTTCAAAATATCCTTTGATTCGAGACAATAACATTTATTTTTTTTGTTATTACATTGTTTCACTGATATGCACAAAAAATTTCATCAAGATATGTTGGCTAGTTCAAGAGATATAGCGTTCAAAAATTTGAGGATGCTGTCACAAAAATCTTCATAACTTGAAAAATAATTGAAATTTTTTTATAAAAATTTTATTTTGTCGATGAAATACATTGAAATACCGTTCAAATTTTAAAAAAATCGGAGATGGTCGGGCGTGGACCATGGTTCAAGTTGACAGAGAATGTATATACAAAGATGCAACCACAATGAAGAAAAAGAAATACCCGGCTATCAAAAACAACAACAGACCAGTTGCTAATAACATTCAAGGTGGTCTAAAATACTAATTGTGCAAACAAAAAACCACCCAACCAGAGAAACGACCAACATTTATCTAGCAAACGATCGACGAAAACCAAATAACCAACCAACAAAACGGCCTAGCCATTTGATTGATTCCGCTGATGAGATGTTGTAAAAGTTGCTTGCTAATTAAATTGCTGACCAGTTACTTTTGAAACTTCTTAGTAACGATTTTTATTTGAAACTACAAACTTTTGTGAATTCCTCTTATTTTGAGGTTGTTCTAATTATTTGATGTTAAGTATATTCACATTTGTTGAAAAAGAAGTTTGATGTAATCATAATTAAGCAGCATTAAACACGTCATACTGATCATGTGTTTGTAGGATAGTTCAAAAACATTTAATGCTTACAACTGTGCCACATAGAATCAACAACACACACAATTGAACCACACAGATTCAACAACGCGCACAGCTGGACGACAAAGAATCTCAAAGCAACCATAAAGCCACCAGTAACTAACAAACAATTGATGAGTCATGTGTACAAACCTTCCTTGAATGATCTTCCAGCTTAGGCATATCGTCTATCGATGTGGGCACGTGTTTCTCCTTTCGTGCTTGTTGTTGGGCCTGTCGAACACTGACAACCGCTAAATTAGGACCATCAAATTCCCCTTTTCTAACACCTCCTCCTCGACTACTTCTTCCCCAGTTTCCTGCTCCTCCTTTCATTGCATGTCCCACCGAAACAGCTGTTCGTCTGGATGGCTGTTGCTGATGCTGTTGTTGATACTGGCTCGATGGCTGTCGGCGGTCGATTGGATGTGAACCTAAATAGATTGACGCGGCACTTTAGATATAAATTCAGCAACAAACACCAACAAATGTTTTTATCAAGATTTGTATTTTTAACTGAAAAAAATAATGATAAAATTGAATACATTAAATTATTGTTGTTGTCTGCCCCATTACGAGTGTTCTGAGTGAACAGTTACTTAGTGCTGCTGCACGAATGTATTGACATCACAAGAGCAACATACTCAAATAATGTAGAGGAAAACGTTTGCTTCCAGAATATAACATAAGACTCTAACTTTGTTAAAAATATACATATTTTTTTAATTTTTGAAATTTTACAATGTATTTTGCTAATTATTTTTGTTTTATATTATTTCTTTTATTCGAGGGATGTTTGATAACATGTGAGAAATGTGCTGCATTTCGATGTCTTAATATTTAAAATGTTTTAGCTTTGGTCTAAACAAAATTCCAGTTTTGGCCAGACATAACTTTTTTGTTTAATAGCTGATGTCAAGTATGCAACAAAAACAACTCAACGATATATTTAAAGATATGCAGAATATGACAACATTCATCATAAAATCACCTCTAGCATCAATATTCAATGAAAATAGTTACATAGTTAATATAAAATCTTATTTCTTCTTTATGCCCAATTGAAAATTTCCTCTGTCGTTAACAATGATAAAAATATTAAAAACTAACTATAGCCTCCTCTGTTGTTAGGTTTGGTGTCTTTAGTCTGCGACTGCCAAGCACTGTGCGACCTCCAATCAGAGCTTGTGGCGTCTGACTCGGGTTGCTCCTCAACTGTCTGTTGCTGTGGCCACAAAATTAATTGTGTCAATAATCGGCAAATTTTACACGAACGACTAAAATGATTGAAAATAAAAATCAAGAACAACATGCACCAATGCTCTTGGCCACACAAATGGTGGACATGATAATCAATGCTAGTCATTTATCACTCAACAACTCTACATTATGTGATGTAATTATCACCCATGAAGACTTGACTTACTTTCCTGTCATCAACAGTTGCCTCATCTGCTTTATTAACGTTGACATCAACATCATCAGTGACTTCTTCAACTTCAGCTGAAGTTGTTGATGTCGTTATGGCCGGTGATGTTGTGGCGGTTGGTGGTGCTGCTGTGGCAGTTGTTGGTGCGTTCACTTGTTCCTGCTGTGTTGTTCTGCGAGCAGTCCAAGCATTCACCTGCAACATGACATCATTTCCGTTTATATCTATTTTTAAACTTGACTGATAAAATTCACGCAACAGACCAAATATTAATTATACTAACGATGAGCTGAAACTATGTTTTAAAATGCTGCAGAAAAATTGTTAGGTTCATGCTCATTCACTTGTACTATAATAAAATTAATAAAATATCATTGTCATATTAATTTACATTTGCATCATCGTCATCAATAGCAAGAAGCCAAACAAGAACAAACTTTGGGTGGAGGAGCAGGCACCATCTTGACGGGAGGTGTTGGCTGTTGCTGCTTATCTGCTGCTGCTGGCTGGCTGCTAGACTCAACTGACTGGTGTTCCTCTGAGCTTTCTGTAGTCCTGCGACCTGGTCACACATTTAAATGCAAAAGTTTACCATTAAAACTCAAATTCAAAACAATCAATATTATACTGATCCAAATGTTCAGCTATTCATCAGTTTATTCTATTGAAGTCATTTTCAAGATTATATCCATGCAAAATATGTTCAGAAGACCAAAGAGTCAAGTGGATATACAACAAGGACTTTGCTGGCTCGTCAGTGGACAGAGTATATATATATATATATATATATATATATATATATATAGATAGATAGATATAGATAAGATACTAAACGGCACTCAGCGAACAAACGGCGAACAAAAGAATTACCTCTTGGTTGCTGGACTGATGTGCTGGAAGACTGTTTCAAATCTTTTTTTTGTCTGCTATCATTGCTGGACAACTGTCGCCGTGATGACTCGTCCTGATTTGATGACTGACTCTGTCTCTTGCTATCACCATCGAGTGGTTTGCTGTTGAGTGCAAAAAATAACATTTTAATATTATACTGCAGTTATTCCCAGATAGTTACAATATCGTCGTTAAAATTCATAGAAGATTTTAGAAAAGACTTCTTATCCAAAATCTAATCAGGCCCAACAAAGATACCAGCTCCCAAACCATCATCCTGCTAATTAATACCTTTAATATATTATTATCTTTATTTCGCTTTATTATCATCAACTTTTACTTTTCAGGATCAGTGCCCCAGTGATCTTTGAAAAAGCACTCACAAACCTTATGAGTATATCTGGATTCACTTACAAAGCAAAATAGTGAACCTAATAGTTGTAAATGTACAAAAAACATTCCAATGAAGCTAAATGCAAACAAAGGATGAAAAATTTAGTTTCTAACTTCATCTGCTTCAACTTTTCTTCAATTTCCCTTTCTCTCTGCGTGGTGTCAACAGGTTTTGCTGCCCCAAATATTGTGGAAGTCACAACATCTGGTGCTTCATTAAGTGGTTTTGAACGTGGTTTCAAGTTCAATTTGGGTCGTTCCTTAGGACCGGATGGTGCTGGTTGTGTTATTTCAACAGATGTGTTGTTGGCTACGTTGTCGGTGGATTGTGCGTGAGAACGATTTTCATCTTTCAGTGAATCTGTGTTGTTTTAATTAGAAATTCACGACCAAAATATATTACTTTATGATTAGAACCATAATTGCAAGCTAAAGATAAGGGTTCATTGAATATATTGCTAAACTACTGTACTACCAAAACAGTTACAATTAAATGATAGTTATAATAAATTAGGCAGCCATTGAATCTATGAATGAAACTAAATATTTAACCTGCTTTCAAAAGCAAAAAATTTCCAACAACTATAAATTCCTAGGAATCATGAGAGAAAATTTGTAAAACGTTGCAGTTGTGATGTGAAATTCATTTTACTACATAAAATAACATCTTCTAAAAAACAAAAAATTCACTGGATTACAAGTTCAGAAAAGACAAATTAGCAAACTTCAATAATATTTAGTCCAAATTTAGAAAACCTTTGAAAAAAATAATGCAAACATCAAAATTAATAATTTTTCACATTAAATCAGATAAAAGCAGCAAACCTTTTTGAGCACCAGCTTCCTTGAAGCTCCCGTGATTTTGATCATTTCGACCACTCCTTCTCATCTCATCTCTGCTAAACCTTGCAGCATCTCTTCCAAACTTTCCTCCCTCTCTCTCCTCATCTCTTCCATATCTGGCACCTCGACTACCGCCCGATGTATCTCTCTTCCAATTTTCCCCGCTGGCATCACGACTTCCACCTTCTCTGCCACCTCTCCTAGGTGGAGGCAATTCTATTTTCGGAGCCTGCCTCCAATCCATCGGTTCATCCTTATTACTGCTGTGCCTGTCCTCTCGACGACCACGTTCAAATGCATTGCTGTCTCTCTCATTACTTCCTCGAAAGCGGTTATTGTTGTCGGACCTGCAGATATAGATGGTACAATTAGTCTGATTATAATACTAGATGATGCATGAATGTCACTGATACTGATCATTTTACCCATGCAGTGAACAAAGAAGCATGCAAGTTTTATGCGAGCACAAATGTATATGCATGCATTTTTACACAAACAACTTATTTTTATACGAATCTAAATCAGTGATTCTCAAAAGTGGCCGAGAAGGAGTAATTTAATTCTAGTGGAGGCAATTTGGGATGTACTTATAAATGAGTTTTAAGATGAAGAAATGCACGGTTAATGATACTGCTACGTCTGTTACATTACTTGTTATTATTACCGATTCTTCTCACAGATGACTTCAAAGTAAGAACATCTGACCTGAAACAACTCAACAACAAGGATCAACAAAGTGCATGGAGGCTTACAAGCACGTGTGCAAACACTTTCTTCTATTATATCAATTTAGGTGATATAATGCAGTGCTTCTCAAAGTGGTGGTCCGCGGACCGGCGCCGGTCCGCGGACCAATAGCTGCCGGTCCGCGGCGAGGTTCCAAAAATTTTGAAAATTAATCAGAAAATTCATAGTTTGGACAGCAACGCAATTGCGAAAGTCATTGTTATTACTAGTAGATGAGTTTAAAGGTAAGCAAGTTCACGAATGCATATGCATGACTATTATTAATATTCAATGTGATAACGCGAAAGGACGCGTGACCAATTAACTATCGGATCCCGCTTAAATATTCAATCTTTCTTTATCAGCTATTTGCACATGTTCAGAGTAAAATTGATAAAAACCCGGTAAAACTAGGAGTTAACAACGTTATTGCTAAATTAAAATATATTTGTAATTTTGAAATTTATATATAAATTGAATAACTCATTTTGCAATTTATTAAATTTTATTCAAATTAATATATAAAGTTGCTAGAACTGTTGTCAGGTTGGTTCAGATTTTTTTTAATATTTTCATTTTATTTTGATGTTATCAAGACCGCTAATTTGTTTTCTTGAAAGTAAAAGTTTATTTTATTCAAAAATAACTACTTTAGGCATGGCGAAACAAGCCCGATAGACAAATTTTTGAAAAGGAAACGTCAGGAAGAGAATTTGATATATGAAAGTAGTGACGATTCTTCAGTTTCAGACAATGAAAATGGCATCGTAAAGGCAATTGGTATTGAAACGTGTGCAACAAAACGTATTAGAACTAGCTTCATTCGAAAGTACGATGAATCATACATTCAATTTGGCTTCATGCCAATGGACGATGGAACAGAGTTGAAACCGCAGTGCGTTATTTGCAGCGAGGTTTTGTCGAACGAAGCAATGAAGCCATCAAAACTAAAAAGACATTTAAATACCAAACACAAAGACATTTGCACAAAACCAAAAGAATATTTTGAGAGAAAACGCATTGATCTGAAGAGTCGCCAAAAACAAATGTTTCGTATTTTCCATATAAACACGTGTGCGCTACGAGCTTCATATAAAGTAGCTCTGCAAATTGCCAAAGCGAAAAAGGCATTCACAATTGGTGAAACGTTAATAAAAGATTGCATCAAAGATGTCTGTTTTGAGATGCTGGGTGAGCAGGCTTCAAAAAAAATAGACCAGGTGCCACTTTCAAACAATACTATTGGTCGACGCATTAGCGATATGGCAGAAGACATTGAAGAGCAGCTAGTTGAACCAATGAAACTTGCAAAGTATTATTCTTGGCAGCTGGATGAAAGCACAGATGTGGCCAACATGGCTATTTTGTTAGTTTATGTTCGTTTTGAATACGAAGGAGATTTAAAGGAGGAATTTTTCTTTTCAGCATCACTCCCAACAAATACAACAAGTTCTGAAGTATTCAAAACTGTCAGTGAATATATCATTGGTAAAGGA